TCACGCCTACTGAACACGCTATGCGCACAGAAAGTACATTTATGACAGCAACGTCCCACTCATCAAATAGGTGACCGGCGCCACAATAATGCGAAAACGCTGACTTTTCTGACGTTGAGGATATTATGCTAAACCTCCGTATGCTGATTCAATTTATCAACTGCTCGCAAAAGATGACAGATAAGAGACCGTCAACCCTTTATGCAAACGTACACGGAGTCGGCAAGCAGACAAATGTCATTTAGCAAACTTAGGCTGTCAGGCCTCGGAGAATTTCTCCACATTCATCGACCATTCAGAGAGCTGGCATATAATCCGTCTCCAATACAGAGATCCATTAAAAACTTCGAAAATCTTAACAGCTCCCTCAAAGTTAATACCGCCCTCTGCTTTCTCGGCAGCTGAGGCTTGATCACTCAATCCGGTGTCCTATCACACGGCAATGCATTTATATCAGTCAGGGGCTTGTACGACGGGAGGTTTGGTTTCGTCGGCAGCAGTTCCAAGCTTAGGCCGTATTCAAACTACCGCGCGGGGAAACCAGAAAATAGAACCTTGGCCATGGTGATAATTTAACTGCCGCCACAATCGAGATGGTGCCCACGCTCAAGGGTGTGTTCGACGACAAGAGTCACTAATAACAAGAGACATTAGTGAAGGCCCCAAAACATCGCTTCTATCGCCAAAGATGATGCAAGAATGACTGATAAATATGGTGCGGGATTAGACATTTTACTTAATGTACCTTTGGGACCCATATATGTAAGGAGAAGGGTCGCCAGGGAAGTGGAGTAATACGCGTACATTGTAAAGCCGGTTACAACAACCCGTCGTCAGACGAAATGAATGATGGTAGGTAGAATTTTTGCGGTAGATTGTAGACAGGCAGCTGGACAGACGTCCGTCAGAGGAGGATTGCATCATGTTGCGATAGATGGCGAGCGTGAGGGGGGGTGTTGGAGGTTTCGGTCGGTGTTCGCCATATCCGGATGAAGGAATCGATCGAACATGGAGTAGCGGCTGTTGTTTTGAAGATGCTCTCAAGTTAGCGGGCCGTGATTGTAGATTCTCGTAGTATGCGTCAACATGATGGTGGACACTGCACAGAGCCCCCCAAACGTGCCACCTGGTAGATGCGCTGGACCAACACGGGGACCATATCGGATTCTGGTAGGCGTTATCGGGTTGCGCATCATTACAAATGCCAACATTTTGGGATGCGGCGGCAGACCCCGTTGCGGGCGTACGTCGCGCACACTGGGACCCCTGTCGCCCCCATCATTGTGGCTGTTGGTTAAAAACCTGGTTATTTGTTCTGTGGACCAGGGGGTGTGGAGTGGAGCGCCAAGGTGCGGGCGCGACCGCGCCACCCACATGCGCCCTCCCCCGCCTCCGGTTTTCTTGACGCTGTCTTGACACCGGGTCCAGGCGTGGAGTGGGATAAAGACAGTGCGGTAGATGCTGTGCAAGTCTACTATCACTATAAATTAATTCACGTGCAAGTAACCGTTCCTGCTTCACCTTGCTGTGGGGCACACGGTCGACGTCGTCGGAAACGATGGTCGAACTCTCGAATATTGCACAACAATGAGGCGTCCAGAGAAGACGTTATTCCCGTCGAAATCTACAAGTCCTGTCTCGAAACAGGCGTCCTGGCTCCATGAGGTTCTCAAATAGGCGTGGAGAGTTGAGGTAGTCCTTAGTGTGCCTGTCTTTGAGAGGGGAGATAGGACAAAGTGTGAGAACTTCCGCAACATAAGCCTGGTCGAAATTGCTGCGAAGGCCTTAACCAGTGCCCTCCTAAGACGACTCCAGTCTGTGCGCGACTCTAGGACGAGGTCTAGCCAAGCCAGATTCCGAACTGGGCGTGGATTGGAGGACCAGATATCCACAGTTAGTCGCAATCTAGAATTCCGCATGGCTGTCAACAACCATCTGCTTTGTTAACTTAATCGCTTCGTTAGATTCCGCTCATCATGAGTCCTGGTGAAGAATGACAGAAGTACATGGTATCGATCAAAATCATCGTTATGATTAGGGCCTACTATCGCTCCACCATTGCGCGAGATCTCCTCCATATTAATCTCTCCTAACCATTTGATATCCCATCTGGTGCCCCACAAGGTTGCACTCCGTCGTCCATTCTGTTCAACTACGCCATTGACTGGATTCTGGAAAGGTTAGTACGCGGTTTTGACAGCATCGAGTTTGCACCCGGATGTTAACTGACTGATTCTGACCATGCTGATGATATCGCCTCGCTGGTCTCGAGCTTTGGTGATCTAACGCCTGTGGTGCCATGGGTGAAAGAAGTCGCTACTTCGGTAAACGCCAGGAATATAAAACTGTCTTTGACTTGCAGCTCTGAACAGAAGGAACCACCCCTCAGGACTAATGGCTGTTAACCGGAAGAAATAGACAGTTTCAAATGACTGTCCGATGGATAAAGTGAGGGCGTCATTGCCTCCCAAATCGGTGTCGTTCGCAGGGTTTTCTCAATGCTTTGAAAGTGCCTATAGATTCGATGTGACATCAGCACCACGCGAAGATCCGCGTGCACCTTGCAGCCTCTCGGTTTATTCTCTCCTGCGGTTGTGATTGCTAGGCCCTGATAATGGCCAACCTGTTGAGGCGCCATTGGCCTTTTGGTAATATTTGGCCTCAGATTACCAACCGTTTTTAAAGAACGCAAGCCGACCTAAGACGTGCTGCGTTAGAATACCAGTGGGATTTTCCCCTGCGCGCCGAGATACGCCCTCAATAATCGCGTCATGTGTTTTTGAGGAAGACAGTATAACCAAATAAAAGGATAGCATATGGTTGGCAGAGCTAATTTTAAGGTCCGTTTTCCCCTAAATGAATACGCCAGGCTTTTTACTGTCGTTCTGCGAGCCGTTAGTTAGAGTACTTTCGAGTGCATACATAATCGCTGGCAAATTTGCAAGTAGGTGATCCGGTGGGTGGCGCCATGATCCTCTATGGTGCATCTGTTTTATGTACCTATGGAAAGTTCCACGCGAGTGGGACGGGTAGGTTATTGGAAGGCATAAATTTGAACTCCTGCGAACTTCTGAGATCTACCAAGTGAGCCCATTGGCCTTTCCCTATACAACTGCTTCCTGCCACTTCATTGTAACCTTAACGTGTAGGAAGTAGGCATCCCTGTCATTTAAGGACTTGGTTGGCTTTGTGCGTGTGGTCACTCTTGTCCATGGTAAGTGCTGCGCCATTTGTGTCAACAAACAGAACAACTATGCAGTCAAAAGAGACACCATGGACATCTGACCAGGTAGGCCGTAGGTCAGTAGGATCAACTCACGGCTGGTTATGGAGCTCGCATGTGCAACATCAGTGTGAGTGAATACTAATTCCTCTATATAGGAAGCCCATGTTGGTGGGTGTTAAACTCACTTTTCGACTGACAACCCATGCAGGCTTGCTACTCTCGTTGCTAGGGCGCAGAAGAGATTGGAGACTCGCTTGCAGATCGGTTCGTTTTTTTATTCAAGCACGCTTAGTGATGAAGTTTGCGCGTCGTAGTACGCCCTAAAAACGTCTTTGAGGAGGGATGAAACGCACTGGAACTTTAGGCCAGGAATCATTGTTTTCAGTCGACAAATGCGGCGGTGGACCACCCTATACGTGAAATACATATCTGCAAGCAATTAACCGCCTAGCTTTATTCGACCGAACGGGTTTGATGCGATATGTTCGGTATGTTTCCATGGTCGTGACAGCGGTGCGAACCTCTCCCTGCGTCTGTTAGGACTAAGTATTTGACGTACAAACTTGCTGAATAACTGAGGTGATACACATTCCGAAATGATAAGGTGAAAGGGGAAGGCTCCTCACGAAAATGTAAACGTACTCGTGAACACCCAAACTACTTGCACCAAACTGTCGTCGGACGAAATGAGTAGTTATAGGTGACCCACAACTGTTTGGAAACACCGACGGACGAATGTGAGGCACATAAACCACCTAGTTAGCTCACACGCCCATTACGAAAGTCTGTGATCACAACTCACCCCTTCGCATCCAAGCATACGTTGGCCCTTCACCGACACACCCGTATGTATCTCGTACGCCCTTTAGTGTGACCACCGTTTCAGTTAGCGTTTTATTGAAAAGATCGCCAAGTCTAACAGCAAACACGCTGAGTTACAATCTTGCTGGTTTTCCCCATTCTGTCTCTCATCCCCTGCAAAATGTACACAAAGCCTCATATTCGCAGCTTACTGCTTTGCGACTGCATTCGGGATTCTGCGTCTGAATGGGGAGAACTTTGGTTGACGATGTCGACCATCCTAAGACAGAAGCCAACCATACTTCATCCTCTCGATCCAAATGCATCCGCTCTCTACAGGCCTCTCAAACAAGTCCAAAATTCGCTTCCTCACTCACCCAGTTTCTTTCAGCTTGATGAGAATCCACTTACTTTCAAAGGCGCGAAACCGCACTCTTCCTCGACTCACAAATGTGTTCATTAGGTCTTAGCTACCTGCGACGCTGCATCGCTCAACGCTTACAGTTAAGTTGTCGTTTACTAGCAGGTATTAAACAAGGGCGCCTTTCGTCCTATGTTCAAGATGTGAAAGGCCAACGTTGCTCTGAAAAATTCGATTGCTTCCCGTACTCGAGGGCTCACTCGAAAACGTGGAATGAAACTGAGTCTCAGACGATAAAACAGTGGATAATTAACTTTGGCTAGCTTCCTCGGTGAAAAATACTGCCGGAAGCACACAACCGGAGTGGACTGTACGATGACCGTAAATAGACCTGCACCAGACGTCTTGGCCACTCGGGTTTTTTGCACGCTCAGAAGTGACAGTATGTGGCGTGCAGACCAGGTGAGCGACATCGCATCCTGGAACTAATTGTACACGATAAGATAAACAAGCATGAAGAGCAGACCAGAGTTAAGGGCCTGAAAGGATGCATGTTATGAAAGAAAAGTAACATGCAAAGTGATGCACCGTCCAGGGTATAAACTACGGCGGCTAGAACTTGGAGCCGAGCTGATTGAAGGTCGAATATGGCAAACGCACAAAACTAGGCACCAGACGGGAGAGGTTGGTGCGGCCGGTAATCTCCAGGAGGTAAGGTACAGAACGCAGACTCGTGGGCCACTTGCCGTCAATGTCGCGAATGCCCATCTCTAGCGCAGTGTCTGCCACTAAGAGTACACGGCCGGACCGTGCCAACAACTTTTCCTTCGTCTCGGCTAACATGTGCGCGATGACGTATCCCGTCAGCTCGGTTGATTCGCCTAAGGAAAGGCAGAGAAAAGAAGCAGGCTTCATTGTTGCCGTGTCAGTAATCTTGGTAGCAACTGTTTCCGCTAAGATTCGCGCGGATAAAGGTTTGGGAAAAGAGCACATAGAAAGAAAAATATAAGGAGGTGGAAGGAATCAGGAGCAGTATCGCACTCAAATCCACTGGTCTCTTCAGTCTTGCATCTTAAGCTCTTCGAGTAGTACGCGCATCGGGAGCAGTGGCCGCTGATGGGACCAGGGCGTAGTGGAAGGAGAGTGTAAAGCGGATGCAGCGAAAGTCGCGGCTGCCAGGTCCACTTCGCTGGACGGCGGTTGACCTCGTCATCGGTGATGGCCATATTATCTTGTGTGTCGTTTTACGCAAGGCATGACGTGTATAAGTGGAGTGGGTTGTCTTACTCTAAGGGTCGACCTCTACTACTCACGTTCTGTATGTCACACTACCCCGGGAGGGCATTTGTGTTTGAGCGAATGTTAAGTGTACGTTCTCAGGCTTTAGAGCAGGGGCTCTCGGAAGGAGGATGAATAACCTTGAGATGTTCCAGTCCGCAACAAAAACTATGCGGTGCAATGATGACGGTCGGCTATGCACACATGTCGAGCAGAAGGCTAGCCTGCAACCTGGGTGGACAGAGTCGCCAAGACACCAAGCGAAATGCCGATAGAAACGAATAGGCAAGTTCCAGGAGGCAGTTTGGAAGAAAGTGATTCCAGGACCTTCCGTGTACGGTCTCCGTTGCTGGATGACAGAATGTTTCGAACTCTCCAGATTCGGTAAACCAGATCGTTAGGCGTGGAAGGGTACAACTCGTGGCATTGCAGAAGCCAACCGTGTCCGGTCTTTTCAGACCTTCTCGGAACCCAGCTGGACTGTTTTCGGGCGTCGACCGTCTGTACGGCACGTCAAAATATGCGGATGTATTCATCATGACAGCACCGCAGCCAAAAGGCACACAACTTTAAACTCGAGTGAAAAATCACACCAATATTGCACCAACAACATATGACTGCCCCATTTGAAGGGCAGTCTATAGATTTCACTCTAATGATAATCCACAAACTCACGTGCTCAAGAAACCCCAGATGTTCAGTCGCCTCTCATCGCCCAGCCCAGCACTTGTAACTGCAGGATAAGAAATGTCAGACATATTCAGGGTGAGTACCGACCGATGAGTTCATTGACAACGCTGACACGCCGGCAACTGATACGCTTCCACATGCAACGTGGCAGAAGTCTAGCGTCCTCGCTTTTATTGAAGCCTTACCTCCACATGTATCAATGTGTGGGCAACCTGATGGCGATATTTGAAACTGCCAGGAAATGGATCCCGAGACAGATGAAACTGACAACTAACAGCCGTCAATCAAAGAGGACCTAGGCGCTGTCCGCGCGTTTTCTTGCTTAAGAATATTAGGCATAGTGATCAACTTTCAAACGAGCTGGAGATGGGTGGAAAGAATGCAGGGATGAAGCGCTGGTCGGAGGTTAATGGAAGCAGAGGGTCTAAGTGGTATTGAGATGCTCATCGACGTCTACGATCAGCAGGTTGTTTACATTTGTTCTCAATGTGTCAACTCTGAGTGGAGGGCCCCATTTAACGTCCAAAGAGTCTGCGTACGAGCCTGAGATGTTTTCAGCCCACGCCTTTCGCTTCGGCGCCATGATGGCAGCGGGTTTAAACAGACAGCGAGACGATTGGTGAAAGTACAGTCGGAGAATGGTCCACATTCATTTTCTATGGTTTACCAACAACCCTGTGCTCTTCTAAATCAGGCCAGACCAGATTTCAATGGAAGAGTTTTGTGTAGTAAGGGCTTCAAAGAGAAAAGAAGACCTTAAATTGGATATTCTGAACGGATGTAGTGTAAAAGGCAGAAGGACCGGAGACGGGATTTTGAGTGTTTTTATCAGAACCACAGCCTTGCACATGCCCCATCTTTGAAGCCTCTGCACCTAGATCGCATACAGGAAGGTACCTATCCCATGGGCATTAAATTAGAGTTTTCTGAAATCAATAATGGTCTAGTGGCGTTCAGTAATATCCTCCGATTGGAAGATGGAATAAGGAAGCCGACTTTTGTCGACGAAATATAGGTCAATGACTCAAATGCAGAGGGTTTGATTTAATGTCCATTTTGCATTATTTCGGGCGTAAAGTAACATTGACCCGAAATGGTCATATCAGTCTCAGAAGCTTCTGTTGATAAAAACGCATCACTAATAATTTTGTCAACTGGACTTATCTATGCTACCGAAAAGCCTGTTATCAATGGGGGTCATTCTACAAGCATCACCAGTTTCGGTCAATTTGGTTTCTGTTGAAAGAAACAATACAAATTGGACAGGAATAGTGTACATTCAACTGTTTAGTACCTAGTCAACGGCCTAGATAAGTGGAATTGCTAAAGGCCATACGAACATTCTAAAATGTAACACAGCTGATGGTTTTGAAACAGCAATAATCAGGAGAGTAGTATATATGGCTGAGGAAGTGGGAGTGAGTGGAGCAGGAGGAAGGGAAGACCTACCCCATTTTTCTAAGTCTGCAGTTTTAAAGTTGGCCTCCTTCACAGAGTGGAGAATTTTTTCTGTTTTGACGAAGCCAGGCCAAAGGGAAATCACTGCGATATTTTTATTTTTCTCACGAAGTTCATGGGCCATATCGGCAGCCATACGATCTACCGCCGCCTTGCCTGAAAAAATAAAAAAGCGCCGTTGCACCAGCAAAACATTGGAAGATGGCAATCCCAGTCAGTGGTCGACTCTGATGGATGAAGAGGAGAGAAGACAGTAGTTTCGGATCTACTTATGCCTTTTTATTCAGTCACACACATGGAGAACATCCGCAAGTAGAAGCACAAGGTCGAGCACGCACAAGTACATATCGTAGACGATCTAATCTAATTCTCATCCACAGCGAAAAATCGAAGTTACATCAAGGAGTCCTGACAGGCCACTTGACAAACAAATGGCGAGCGGCTACGCTGACACGCGAGCGGTTCGCAGCTGCGTCAGACGGCGGCACAAGATCGGCGAAGCACGCGTGTCTGGGATTTCAGCTAGTACCTATGTTTTTAGTACGGTAAATAATTATGCAGTTCTATACTACTGGCTGACTGTTGGTGGTTTGTGAATATTACGCGGTTATTCCGCAATAAAATGATAGATTTCAGCTCAAATAATCATATCAAATGTCGGACCGTGCCTAAAAGAGTCTGTTTCGAAAGACTTGCTCCAAGTTTGACCATTAATTTCCTCGGAGATTAAACAAGATAAGTTAAAACGGGAGTTCATGCATCATAAAACTCACGTCGAAAGCTGGGGGACGCATTAACGAGCCGAACCCCTCGCGGCTGCGTCGGCAAGTGGCACAAGATCAGCAAAACACGCGTGTCTGGGCTTTTAGCTAATACCTGTGTTGTTAGTACGACAAATCATTGCACAGTTCTATACTACGGCTGCCTGTTATCGGTCTGTGAATATTAAGCGGTTATTCGACAGTAGCTGATGGACTTCAGTTCAAATATTCACATCAAACTTTGGACCGGCAAGCAGCACAAGATCAGCGAAACACGCGTGTATGGGCTTTTAGCTGATACCTGTGCTGTTAGCACGGTAAATAATTACGCAATTGCAAGTCACTTAAGCATCTCTGGAGTTTACTTTAAATGGATCTTCGCATATAACTGCTCGTATATATTCGGTCTCATGTATTAATAAACTCCGATTTTTATTACTTTGATTGAGATTTACCCAGAGGCAATCTCGAAAAAAGTCATATGATTCCATGTCCGTTCGGTGTTCTATTTCTCCAAAAACAGCAAGGTCAAGTTTGTACTGGTAAAACCTGTCCCATAGTTGTACATGCTAGATTTTCATTTAGGAGAACGCGAACTATAAGGAGATAATTCAAAAAAGAAAATACGCATCAAAGCGGACAGCAGTTACGATTAGCATGGGGACACAGATTATGACCACTTAATACATCATAAATCGGTAGATTTGGCAGAGAAGTTTTCCAACTACACCTCGCAGTACATAGTACTGAAGTAGTATATAATTTTCCCCTATTAAACGCACGTAGTGGTCCAGATGCTCACATTTCTTACGCATTAGATTCCGGAATTTAAAAGACTAATAACTCATGTATATTTAAAGGCAAAACCAATTTTTGCAATTCTCTCACCAGTGCATAAGGCACTTAGCATGGGTGAATTCGCTGTTTTTTTTAAAAGAATTCCCCTGAAATTTGTGGAGTACTGTGAGAATGTCCCATTTTGTACAAGAGCAGTGTAAATCATCAAAAGCGCACTAGGACAGTGAGTTGATGACAACCGCGAGACGGAAGTTTTATGAGCAGAAAACAAGGACTCAGGCATACCAACACCATACGGGACGTTCGCATAATAATGCAGACCGCCGAGGGAGGAAATATTGACGATGAGACCGGGGGGCAGGTTGCCACCGTTCGATTTTGAATCTTTCGCACTGCCGCTGGGCTCCTTTTCATGGTCGCCGTCTTCGGTGGTCAGCTCTCCACGACATTCCAACATCATGCGTGTGGCCAGGGTGGCACAGATGTAGTGGTTTCGTAGACCCACCCGGTTCACAATGTCCCAGGCCGTTGAGGCTGAATCACCTGCCTCCAGCTCCCAGTAACCCTTGCCGGTGTGAGAGGTGATGTAGCTGATTGCGGAGAAGGCATTGTTTACGAGGACATCTAGGCGACCATTTTGCTCGTCGCGAATACGTGAAAAGAGACTCTCAACCTGCTCGTCATCGGAGTGGTCGACGACAACAGGAATAGCCACCTAGGAGAGAACGGGAATGTGCATCACCTGGCAAGATTTCCATAATCAAAAAAACTGGCAATCAGGTATTCGACTCCATTTCACATTTTGAATTAATAATAGAGGCTAAGAAAAGGGAATTCAACACAGTAAAGCAGATATCATAAGTGTCGGTCTCGAGTATATTTTAAAATGCAAAATACTGTTCGAAATCCGGTTTTTTACCCATCACAGGCATACCATCGGCATAATTACAAAATTGAACAGACAATAACCTAGCCCTATGCGCTGGCTGTGTTGTATCAAAGTTTCAGCGCAATCGATGCAGTACTTTCGAAGATAACATATAACACAAAAAAACCCTTCCATTTTTATATATATAACTAAAGACTAGAGTGAAGGAAATTCAACACAATAAAAAGATATCAGAAGTGCTGGTCTCGAATATGCTTTAAAATGCAAAATACTGTTCGAAATGTAATTGCAGCAATGACAAATGTAGGCGTCATAATTTTGAACAAAGTTCCGTATCGAAACATGCGGACTTTGCTTTAAAACCCATCTAAAAAGAGCACCTTCTACAAACTTAGATAAATATCTTCGCATTAACTGGTTGTCTATGATAATTTAACAAACACGCTTGATCCTTATCGTTAACTTGAAGATTATAATTTTGCCTACAGACATATTCATTGGGAATGAGGAAATTTTATGCGTTAAAAAATCATCAGAATCGTCGAGACACGATAATAGGAAGTCTAATAATCAACATCGTCTTGCTCTAGAGTCCAAGATGGACACCTAAGGTTAACCCAAATCTACGTTTTATGCCTTAACTTAGCACCAATTGTACGCTAAGCCCTAAAATCCTTGTAATGCAACACATAAGTCACCTGTATTATGGGGCGGTTGTATCTGTTCCAGTGTTCTGTTTTGAAGGTGACTGGGGTTATCCATTTTAAAAATTAAACGCATATTTCAACGTACGATCCCCATGTGAGCTTCTTTTCTGACAAGTTATTTGGTCGTGGGCAGATAGCCTGAGGCACGCACATAATTGCTCGGCTCCTTTATGGGAATACTAAACCTACGGATATTCGGAGATACATACATAGATACAAAGACGTTTGCTCGAGGTAGAGCATTTGCTTGAATAATATTTATTTTATAGAACCAACATGTCTTCGAAGTACCATTTTGGCAATTTTAAATAACTGTCGGATAAAGAACGTTGACTGCCTCAAATATCTAACATCCAAACTGCCTTGAAGAAGGAGACACGATTGCTAGAACAAGAGCTTTATTAACCTGACTTTCCGGATTCCTGCTCGAACCCTCCATCAGAAACAAAAAGCAGATATGGGTATCTCTGTCCGTATCTGTTTTTGTCTCTGAGGATAGGTTTGAGCAGGAATCCGGAACGTCAGGCCAAAAAAGTTCTTGTCCCGGCGATCGTGTCTCCTTCTTCAAAACTAGTTATTGGGACTCGACTCTTTGCTTCTATTGGCAATCCAAACTGCCGTCAGACAGACGGATTTTAACCGTTCCGACCATTGCCGCCGGTCAGGTTGCTGAGTGTAGCCGCACGCACTGCGATGTGCTGAGTACTAGGAGCACAGGCGACAACGAGTATTTATCCGATTAACTCTGTCTACCGGCTGGGTATTTTGGATTTTTTACGAAAATGTAGAACGTCTCGGGGATCCGACCACATTTAAGATGACAACAGGTTGAGGAAGTCTACAGCCGATTCACAAGGGCAGCTGAATTATTAGATGTTATGGATCACGGGGCGCCAACGTCTTTCACTTAGTCTAACTTCACCAGTTTAGCGGGAGCAAGCAATAAACGGTCAGCTAAAAAAGGAACTCAACATGATTTTAAAAGCGTGAGCAGTCCGTCCGATTGGCTGGAGAAAAGTTAGTAGAACCCACCAAATTATATTTAATGAAGCTGGCTTGACCGAGTGTGACTTCAAGCGGATACGCAAAGGAGCATGAAATTTTAACTCGATAAGCCGTTAACTATATATGCGCCTTAATCAACGTAAAGTATTCTCAAATGATCAACAATTAAAATACTGTTATTGGTTAGTGCCGCTTTTACGGAAACTTCGGTCTAAGCTTTATGAGTTTCACTGTACAATCTAAGCCAATACAGCTATCCCTTTTTTTAACAGTGTGAGTGCTATCGAGGCAAAGTCGGAACCAAGTATTCTCAACATGGATCTTGTTTAAAAGGGTTAGTTTACGTGGAACTTATAAGGCGAAATGTCCAGATAAAGTAACACCTGCAGATATCTTATGCTCATGTTGCGGACCAGTATGTAGTGAAGTAACCATTGGTCGCGTTTAGTTATGCAAACAATCATTAGACAGAAGCAGCCCGACAAAGCACACAAAAAAGGGACTCTATTGAAAAAGCAATAAGTCGCATCATTCTGGCATTCAAATTAATATAATGTGACGCACGAAAATGTCCGTAGTCATCTACGGGGTTTCTCAAAACGCTTGCCATAAAATTACTAACAAGGTCATTTTAATTAATCAAGTTATAACTTGATTAATTAAAATGACTTTGTTATTAATTTTGTGGCAAGCGTTTTGAGAAACCCCGTAGATGAGCATATAAGTTAATTGCCAAGCCGTGCTCACCATACTTATTCTTCACCGGAACGGATATGAAGATGCCGCAGGGAAACAAAAGAATACGAATCCGGTCATAAAGCTGAGGGGACAAACATACCCCACCACGAGATGTGATCTCTGCAGCTGTTTCCTCCAGACTTCCGCCTACATCGCCGTCTTTGGGTTTTAAGGTACGGCCAGTAATATACACGGTTGCACCGCACTCGCCCAGAATAAGTGCGATGCCGCGGCCGATGCCTCGAGTGGCACCCGTTACTAGACAGATGTATCCTTTGAGGCTGGGTAATTTTTTTTCATCCATTTAGAGGTAATGTTTTCGAAGTCTGGAACAACAGAAAATAAATGTTTTATCCACATTCGTTCCTCTAACTAGCTCGCAGCTACCTTACTAATCAAAACTATCTGAAAAACTATAGGATAAAGCGCAGTGTTTTATTTTTAGAATATATTCTAAAAATAAAACTTTTGGCTTTATCCTATTAAATGTAGTGGAACACACGCTATCAATTGTGTTTTATCAATTCTTAGGGCGTTCTAGAAATCTCTGTAAAAAAACTAGTAACAGGATAGTTCCGTTGCCAGGAGAGATTACCGGCAACCCCAGTTCACACGCCGAGAAAGCTGATGCCGCGTTGCGATAAGTTTATATATCGCACGTATCCGTCTATCAAGGTTGTCCCACATGCCTCTCAAATATGTAGTTCGATAAAACACACACGACAAAAATATAAAGTTCTTTCCCTTATATGATCGATCACTTGGTTGTTTAAACATTATTAAGTGTTTGCATATTTTAATCAAAAAGTTGCGTTTTTGGGAAATAACCGTCGAAGTATTGGCAAAACATTCTTTTTCAATATATTCGTTAACAATACGCACTTCATCGTAAAACGCCTGGAAAGCACTAGCCATGCGAAGTGGACCATCGTTTTTATACCAAAGGGCATACAATAATTGTGGCCTGGAGTTTTGTGAAATTGAATTCGGAAAAGTATTTATATATACTAGGAAAGTCCTCGCGACCGCTATTGATTGTACATTCGTCCGTGTGCAAATATGAAAATGGAGGCTTTCCATATGAACAGCAGGATCTGGGTAAAGAGTGGACGTATCCAGATTCTTAAGTTCGGGCAAGGATAAGGGAGCCCGTAAAGATGAGGTATTCAGGAGAGTAAAGTCTCCTTCGTTAATGCATACACAAGAGCAGATCAAATTCTACTATCCGCGTAGGTTCTCTTGCGGTTGTACAGTTTTTTTGTGCTACTTGTGGCATTTTTGTCAGTTTATCAAAAGTCGAAATGCTCTTTCACCGGAAGATTATTGTTTTTTGTTTAATGCTAACGACCTTCGCCGGTAAATTCTATACTTCATCTAATAACCGTGGACAATTTATATAGAAATCAAAATGATTTGTAATTTCCGCTGATAAGATAATGCTGTCCTATGAGATCGTCACGCTTTTTTCAGGTTCACAGCGCAAAATATGTATAATGGCGATGCACAGTGTGTTTATCGGCACGGTTCTTCTGCCTAAGCTGTCGATTCGTTGTTAACTATAGCCTAGTAAAACGGTCGCTCAGAACCCATCAGGATTTGATTTCATTCAAGTCCTTCGAGATCTTCGAACGACTTAGTCGTTTCTAAATAAACTTTACATAATTTGTAAGATTTTAGAAACCTTTTCCTTGGCCGAATTTTAAATGCTCATTCTAATTCCTCGTATGCAGTTCCAAGTGTCATTTTCAAACTGAGAAGTGATGATGTAACTTATCTCTCATCTCGGCGTTTATATAGGCTCAACAACTTAGTTGTAATAGTATGGCCAATGCCAGTGCTCCGTAGGAAAGTGGGTCTAGTAAGATATTCTTCGCATCGGAAATCTGCGCTCGCTCTATGTTTGCTTACAGCCAGTGACCAGCAGTGCGTGCCAGAATCGAAATCAGCGCAAAGCGTGTGAGATACGAAGATGAGACTGGTGGTGTGTTCGCATATGTCTAAATGGAAGTAATAAAGCTTATAATCGGCTTATGGATTTAAGGACGTTCATGCAGCAGAACCTTGATGACCAGATTTTGGTTGCCGGCCCTAGAGTCCAAAAGCGAAGAGCAAAACGCAAAAAAGCGCAAAAATATCGTCTTGAGAGTACCCCTGAATACGGATAACCAAAACAGTAAGCACAGATGCGGGTATCGGTAACACCAGGACAACGGTAACGAATCGGAGATGGAGGCAAGCTTGATTCCCGCGCAAGACGACCTAAGCGATGACACCATGGAATTACCCGTCGCAAAAGTCATTTCGCCTACTCCTTTTACTGAATATTACGGGATTTCTCTTTCGCCGCCTCTACCGATTCCCTCTTGTTCTGGTAGCCACCCCGAGTGTCCCACAGAGCACATATTTGAACGCGAAGATAGGAACTCGTAGGTTAGGCTAATGCGGAAGCGCCATCACAGGAGTCTGAAGTCATAACCAGCACTAATGGTTTGCTCGGGTGAGTTAGTCGACAGCAAAAGTTTGAATCCAGACGAGGACTACTTAAATCGCCATCGCCATTGATAGAGTTTTCCGGAAAGACAAAATATAGTCCCGGGATCGTAAAAATCGCCAAGTCGTTTGAAGCCTGTCTTAATCGAATGCAGATGGACCGGAAGACTGTGTCATTGAGGACCCTGCTTCTTTTCATGTTCTACTGAACCAATTATTCCAGGTAGACATGGAAATTAAAGACCTGATAGCATTTTGGATCGTAGAAATAAGAGCATGTAGGACAGTGGCACTATCGCCTCGTCCTCCCAATATTATGCTACAAAAAAGGGCAAATTAAATTAATTAGTTCCAAAAAGGCCAGTCTAAAAAACTCACATAAACAGATTTTTAAATAAGACTGCTCTCCTGCGAAACGGCCGAAACGTCGGAAATTTGTCTTGAAAATTAAATGGTGACTGGACGGTGGCGAACACAACCTGGCTTTCTTCAAGAGGAAGTTGTTCGGAAAAAAACGTCGTTTCTGTGAAACCAATCAGTAATATTAAGAAAGACAACAGTTACTAAGCTAATACAGACGGCATCGTGGAACCAGCCACTCGAAGTGGCAGCAGTATTTAGCCCTTAACACCCGGTGTTCTGACTGAAAAAACGGGCGTTAACAAGTAGCCGAAGTAACCAGTGAAAATGTCGTTTGCGACGACCCAGTAATGTAAAAAAACAGTGACAAACGCAATTAGAAATTCCGTCGGCACAAAATTGAGGTTCCTGTATGCAAATATTCAATGCCTCATATCGAAACTTGGTGAGCCAAAACTCTGTCTTGCCAAAGTATCTCCAAATGTTTTATCAGTAACCGACGCCTGCATGTCCGTGAATATTAACCGTAGCAAAATAGACTTGTGTGGATACCAAATCTATCGGGAGGATAGAACACATCCTCAAGGTGGTGGCACAGTTACGTTTGTAAAGGAAGAACTGCCAGTTTGTGCGCAGGTCTTGCGCTCACCGCGGGGGTCGTAATTGAAGCGATGGTGGCTCGTAAGTCCGGGCCCGAGTCATTAAATGCGTTATGATTGCTCGTCAGGTTTGCCCGCTGTCATCGGGGTGTTCTATTCGAGCCAATCATATTACTGTGCGGATCCAACTCCATAAAGACGCCGACAGGACAGATTAACGCGGCATTGTCGGCAATGGAGAACTTAGGTGCAATATTGCCAATCGACTGTCGCATGGCGAGAGCGCAAGAAACGACCCTGGTCCGATTCTACGGTCTCGCAGAAGTGCACAAGGAGGGCGCTCCTCTCTGGCCTGTCGTATCACTTAAGTGCACTCCAAACTATGGACTGGCAAAATGGCTGTTTCGACGTCTCCAGTTTCTGACCTCCGATATGGCCACCACAGTCAGCTTGTCAACACAGTTATTGAAGAAGCTATAAGGGGTAAGTCTCCTCCCAAACGACGTTATGGTATCCTTTGGTGTCACGTCCCTTTTTACTTATATTCCGCAGGACCTTGAAGTCGAGACCATAGAACTACTCCTACGAGAGAAATACAACGAAACAGAAAATTGCTTTGGACACGTCCATGTCCTCTAACTCCTGAAGTCCTGTCTGAAGACGTACTTTACGCTCGACGGATCAATCTACAATCAGGTGAAGGGCACGCCAATTGGTTCGCAGATTTCAGAATTCACAGCTGAGACAGTCTTCTAAAGGTTGGAGTCTATGGTTTTCCGACATCACAGACCGAAATTCTGGACTCGGTATGTGAATGATATCTTCGTCGTAATCGAACAGGATCAGATGTGAATATCCAAAGAACGCCCCAACTCCTCCTCCCAGGACATTCAATTAATGATGGAGGAAGAAGAATACGACCAGATGGCATTGTTGTATGTCAAGAAGGCGAAGACAAGTTCACTGAAACATCACTGAAACTGCATCTTCGTCATCTGAACTGCTTTCTGGAATTCGCCTGTTCACATCTATCAGCATCTCCGGATGTCCCCCTTTGCCGCCAAGATTATAGTGGTTGAAAAACCAAAGTGTTCAGCAAAGCGACGAAGATGACGCAAGTTCTGAAATTCAAAAGTAACCATTCGATCGGTCAAAAGCGCAGTTGCGTAAGGCCGCTATACCGGCGCATTGAGACGCACTGCAGTGAAATGGAAGACAAAGTTGCTGAAATTACAATATCGTTGAGGGGTGCTGAGAGCCAATGGCTACCGGCACAACTTTGCCAACCAGTGCATGCGAAAGCGAAACCAGAGACCAAATTCAACCGGTCCTAGATTTAGGCGAGCCCATCCGTACGTGAGGAATGTCTCTGAAGTCGTCAGCCGCCTTCTCACTCCACTTGGAGTCGGTAGTGTACGCAGGCCGAAGGCAATAATCAAGCAACAATTCGTGAGGCCGAAAGAACCGCTGCCACGGCAGAAAACGTCTGGGGTCGTTTAGCGACTAGTGTATATTCGGACTGGGCAACTACGTCGAAAAACCTCGAGATTAATCTGTACGCGGATGACTGAGCACGCAGCAGCGGTGAGGAGGAAAGACGCTTCCTCTCAGGCTGCGGCTCATTCTACAGAACCCGGCCATATTTTCAAGTTTAAAGAGGCCGCAACCTTGGCAAAAGCTGACAAACGCGTGAGCCGCGAGCTGCTCGCATCATGGTTCTTAGGGCTGCAATTCATAAAAACTGGCAAACGAGCAACAATCCAGGCGACAGCGGGCAGAAATGACGAGCAGTCATCACGCCAACACCCAGTACGGATGATTCACTTAAGGCATTTAATGACTCGGACCCTGATTG